ATGCTGCTGAGAGTAGTCCCAAAAAATAAGCCCTATGTAAGCATAGCAGGATCAAATAAAATTTGCAATCTATGAGTTGTTAAATAAGAGTATATTTTTTTCTTTATAGTGTTTTTTTTAAGAATTAACTACATAGTGGGCTTTCTATTGAAAGTCACTTAGATATACAATATAATAAACCCATAACGACCTGTAAAATAAGTTTATATTATAATGGATGACTTAGCATCTCTACAAAATTTTACAACCGACTCGACTTCATCGGTGCAATCAGATGCACCGCCGAAGACAATATCGAAGAAGGAAAAGGAACTTATAGCCAATAAAGACGTTGTAGATCACGATGAATCGCCGAAATGCTCGAATATAATCACATCTACCAGCACTTCTTCCTCTACTACAATTTCAATTGGCGCCTTCAACTCAGACACCCAATTTCAAAGAGCATCTGGCCATGAGCCGCCACACATTGGTTACGAGCTGAGCGTGGCCAAGTCGATCTTACAGCAATACAGCACATTGAGCGGAGATAACCTGTAAGTGAGAAAAGTTATTAACTCTTTTTGGATAAACAATAAAGCTAAGATCATCTGTAAATTTGTTAGATTCGATCATTTAAGTGACATAGTTAAGCGCGTCGTTGACGAACGACCTCCGAATGTTATTGATTTCTTTGAAGAGTTTAGTCGAAATGTACGCGAGCAGAAATTCCATGTGCCGGAACGCTTTCCCCCCAACGCCGTCTTTGCCGACTGTCGCATGTTCCGTCCCGCAAAGCGCATATTGCACTCGATAAAGGCAAGTTTGCTTCAAATAGGTCTATATCAAGAAATTACCCAATTTAGTCATTTAGCTACCACATAATGCCGAAGGCTCTGACCTCGGCGGAGATGAGGACTTTGGCGAAGAGGCATACACATACGCCGATGGGGAGCTTCAAATAGACCTTGATGATAGTATGCGTTTATTCGTGTCCTTCAATGAACGTGTCGAGCAGCTGCAGTTCTTTTGGAACCAGTGCGGCTTTACAATCAGCAAAGATGATATTTTCCAATTGGCAGGCTCTATTAACCGACTGCAGACCCATCCGTCCATAATGCAATGTCGATTTTGGGGCTGTATTAATGGCTTGAAGGCGTCTTACTACATTGTGGAAGCTTCTCTTACTCGAGAGGAGATCAGCTCACGCCTGACAATGATGGAGGAAGAAATGCGCGAAAAGCAATTGCCTTTCAAGATGAGAAAGAATCAAGAGCCGAATCCTTTGCCCTCACACATAGGTCCAGAGCTAACTCCAGGAGTTTATGGATGGGAGAATTTTTCGCCCGAGGATTTGGAAAAGATGACACCAAAGGCTCCGCCAGTGCCCTTGGCAGAGGAAATTGAGTTCTACGATATACCACCGGAATTAGTGGGGCTGGGCTGCAATCGATACTCATACTTTGTCGTCAACAACCTCTATGATGATTGGATTGAATTACCCATAGTGACGCCTAGGCAAATTGTTGTTTCTCGCCAAATCAAGAAGTTCTTCACTGGTGACTTGGAGTCTGATATTGTATCGTATCCATGCTTTCCCGGCAAGGAAAAGCATTATTTACGTGCCATAATTGCTCGTATTACGGCTAGCACTCATATCGCACCGCAAGGTTATTATAGGCGTATGACTAAGAAGGAAAAAGATCTATTTGATGGCGTCAACTTTGACGACGAGGAGGAGGAGCAAGAAGAGGAAGACAATTACAATGAAGGCGAAGAGGATACAATTCAAGGTAACCCATTCTCCTACTACAAGGCACTTGTTTTCATATAAATGTAGCCAATTCTATTGGATAACGTAACTGCCAGACTAATACAACAGACAACAATAACATGTAAACTAATATTTCTTTTAAGTATTTCCTCTGTTTTCTTTTCAGTATTTTCTCAAAGAATTTCTTCTGTGCTTCGTTTAAAAATTTCTGCCAAATATTTCCTCCAAGTCATTAATATTTAGCTGAACGATCACACAGTTCACTTTACTGCACTACACAACCGACCCCACACTACACAACTGGCCTGGGCGACTGAAGAGATGCTGCAGCTGCTGCCCTTTATATAGGGCACCTTTCTCTCACACACTAACACGCGCTCAAATGTAGAGCCCGACGTCAGGTAGGGATCGTTGCAGTCGAGCTTTAATTGACCAATGGGAGCACCCTCTGCAGCTGCAAGCATTCTCTTTTTCGATTTACTCATAAATACGAAGTGAAGACGGCTGCATACACATAGACAACTCGAATGCTCTTCGGTTATTGTTCTTCGTCCCTTGCTGGCAGACAGAGTGACAGACTGAGTGACATGCAGACTGAGAGAGAGACAGACACACAGACAGACATACGAACAGACATATAGGCAAACATATACGCATAGTCAAATCGTATTACCTCATCTCTCTGCTCAAGAATATATTCTTGATAAGGCTATATGTTGATATGCTAAATGCATTATGTACATTAATATTTATAATTATTAAATGGCATAGACAGCAAGTCGTCCATTTATACTGTTTATCTCATTTCACAATTAACACTCTCTCTCTCTTTTCAGATAACGACGTAATGCTCTTGAAAAATGAACGATTTGAAATAGAGCCCCTGGCAACTCTAGCAACTCCTGTTGCCTGGGTTCATTGTAGACCAAATATTTTAAATCAAGGTCGTATTGTTTGGTACGACGAGGAGAAAGCCCGCAAGGAGCGAGAGAAAGCTCTGGCGATGTATTTGAAGATGCGGCTTATGGAGGAAATGGATGAAGAGGTTGAAGAAGAGGAGGCTGATGGTGAAGAGGAGGGCGAAGAAGAGGAAATGATAGAGGGCTTTAATCAACCAGAGACTGGCCCAGACATTTTGACATCATGTGCCAGCGATATGAGTCCGGACTGTGTTGTCCCATGGCTGGTGCGTTTCACGAGCCGATATACTAATCAAAAGGAGCGCGTTTTGGTTATGCAATCGAATATATGGCCTGGCGCATTCACTTTTATTTTCGAAAAGACATGCGAATCCATTTACTTGGGATGGGGACATAAGTTTTGCAGACGCAACATACCATTTAAGCACTTGCCCATTGTTCAAGAAGAATTTCCGCATTCAGTTGAAGATTTCATTGAGACTACTGATCCCTCAGTTGAGGACGAAATTGCCTACAACGAATGGCTGTTGAGTAAGCAGAAGAGACAAGTCGATATCGGAGAAAGCCTGCATGAGTACGATGGCGAGGATATCGACGACTACGACAACGATGACAATGATGCTTAAGACACTTGAAATAACCTGGGTTACTTGTAGCACTTAGTCTTCCAATGTTCACAGAAATTAATGCAAATGGGTCGTAAATAAAGAGTTATCGACTTAATGGGGAGCTCGACTTAAAATACACACTCAGACACAGACACATGAAGGCAAAATGGCTCCCAGAAAACTAGCTATGATGGATCTACCGGCTTCAGTCCCACTTGTATGTGGTTTTCCGTCTTCCCATGGCTTTACCAACTGATGTAAGGTTCTGTTCCTGCTGCTTGAGTTCTGTATTGCTACCGTCTTTTGCTCTTTCCCTTCCCTCTACTGTATGCAGAAGTCGAAAGAGACCTACTGTGCCGTACTTCATATAACTGGAACTATATTGCTGTCCACGTACGATAGAGTTGCCTAAAGCCCTTGGACTTTAGAAGTAGTTGGCATTTTATTTTTTAGTTATACAGCGTATAAATTGCATATACATAAATAGCTACTTAAACCAAACTTGCAATTTTATTCGAGTTTTGTGTATATTGAGCTTTTTGTTTGATTAACAATTAAATTCACGCATTAAGCTTAAGCTGTCTGGTATTTCTTGATTAGCATGGCCCAGACGTCCGGGTAGCGAGCTTGCAGAAATGATGTCAACTTTTGTGCGCTCTGTGCCTGCTGGGGCGAGCAATTGCGGCATTTTCTTGTTATGACTTCTGGTAGAGCAGCTAGAAAAGAGTTTTTGATATGCAATAAATATAAATTAAATTATAGTTATAGTAAAGTAATATAAAGAGTAGTAAAATGTAAAAGAAATATTCAATTAGGAGAGTTGTTGTGGATTTCCGATTAGGACTTTTGATATCTATATGTATATGTACGAAGGGTCAAGGTGAGAGGTTGCTTTCTTTTTTCAATGTTTGAATAGGTACATAGGGGAGACAGTGGAAAATATTGGAAATATATTTTCGCTCTATTAAAGCTTTAAAAATCTTAATGTCTTGCATGAAATACTCGAAAAATGATAAGTGAGGATGATGAGTTATAAAAGAACGGACAAACGGACATAGCCAAATTGAGTCAGCTCGCTGTCTTGCTTTGTCTTCTTGCTAACTGCCTGTAAAAAATACACACATATACCAATTGTAATTACAATATACCTTTAAGTTGTTTTCCTAACTGGTCGCACGGGCTTTTCTCAAGAATACACATGATTTGACGACTGACCACAGCTTGATTGTTTAAGAGTCTATTGATGTTCTTCTCGTCAGCATCGACTTGAGCGGGAATCAGCATCATAAATAAGAAGATTAAAACTAAAATAGATTTCTCTGATATTTTTCTAAAGAACATAACTTCTTTTGTTATTAATATGATAGTGCTAGTGCTAGTGTATTGGATGCTGATGTTTTGTGCGTTCTATTTTGTGTATTTGATATAATTTAGCGCATGCGTTTCAAAGTTCATTGCAGGGTTGTAGTAAAAACGACTAAATTAAGTGGATGTATCAAACTGGATAAGCTTGATAGAAAACTATACCATTTTTTTTAATTTCCGCGATTGACTAAATATCAATTAAGATTATCATTCATGCCTAAGCTACGCCGCAGAAGTATTGCTGCATAAGAAATTAGCTTTAAGTTTTCATTTTCGCCTAAGAGTCTCCAACTCAAAAAAAGAAGCAAAACATTTTTATTGAATATATAATAAATAATAAATAAATATTGGTATAAATACAATTTTGATTTTTAGAGATTTACATATAAAAATTATTTTTGATTCAACTTTGTGAAATAAACCTCAATCGGCAGTTGCGGCAAGTCAGTTGTGTGCGCGAAATCCGTTTTGGTAGCGTTGGCATCGAGGGGCGATATCTTCTTGAATCTGGGAACAATCCTTTTCACTTTTCTTACATTCGTATTAGATATAGTCATAATAGCTGATTCTGAGGCAACAGTCGTAGCTTTGCTTGAAGCTGGGGAGGTGCTCAAAATAACGCTGCTGGCAGTTGTGGAGGTCGGCTTCGCTTTGCGAGATTTGCCCACATCGCTGGTAACATTTTGGGGTTTTACTTCCAGTTCAGGCTTTACCACTTTATCAGGTATGCTGCTTGTGGGCGTGGTATTATATGAATTACCATGAAATTTGCGACGCCTTAGGTTAACGAAATTAGTTTTTCCCCGCCTACTTTTGAGCTGTGTCGCCTCTGTCGTGGTAGTCAAATTAGCGACTGAGTAGTTCTTTATAAAAGTTGGCAAAGTTTTGTTCTTATGAATTTGTGTTAAATTTAATTTTGCCGCTGCTAATTTTTTGCCATATTTACTCTCGTTGCCTTCATTTTTCTTGAACAAACTCGAAGATCTTTTCAATTTCGCTTCATCGAGATTTGACAGAGTTTTGGCAGTTGACTGAACTTTGCGGCAATTATCGCAGGAGCTAGTATAGTTTTTGGTTAACTTCAAGATTTTTCTTGGCGATAAGTTGGGTAGTGTCGAATTCCAGTTCTTAAAATTTGATGTTGTATTGGATAAAGTTAAAGGTTCAGTTGGACTTAATGTCGCCAATTGAGTGGATTCTGTGTAGAAATCAAGTTTATTTCTTGTCGCAAAAGTTGATTGTGGTTCTTCAGTTGTTGTTGTTGTTGTCGCCTTGGCTGTTGTTGTTGTTGATGCTGTTGTTGTAATCAGAGCTTTTGTGGATGTAATGGGTTCGATATTGAAAAGATCCAAATCAAAGAGAGTATTCAGAGTTTCGTTATTTGAGGTCGTTTTGTCTTCTTCTTCTTCTTCTCCTTCTTTCTGGGACTCAAATTGACTCAGGTTTTCCTTTTTGGTTTTAGCTGTCGAATTATGTTCCGGGACATATGGAAGTATGACATCGTCGAGTGTAAAATAGGTATGGGTCACATACGGTTGATAGGGCTGATCTATTTTCGACATGCTGTTGGCGAGCGTATCCTCAACAGCCTGCGAAGGCTGTGCAACATTTATGATCTGGCTCTCGTCGGCAGCAGCAACAATAGATTTTTTATTTTTCTTGCAAATTGTTAGATTATTATAGTCGGGGCCCAATTTATAATCAGGTGGAGTTTGGTAGTTGGGCTGTATATTGTATGCGGGCTGAATATTGTATTCAGGTTGAATTTTGTATTCAGGTTGAATTTTATAGTCCGAGTTCAAATTGTATTCCGGTTGTTTTTTAAACTCAGGATAGTGGATAGATGGATGATAGTTCTGATCGCTGCTAACCGTTGTCATTGTCATAGCTGTTGAAGAAATCTTCGCGGCAGTCAAATATGAGCGCAGAAATTGCGGTGACAATGGACCATCATAAGTATTTTTATATGTATTTCTAAAAGAGAAGTCCAATAGAAAATTTTGTAAATAATTAAAAAGAAAAAGCTTTACATTTCATCCATTGTCATTTACTTTAAAATGAATTGATTATTTTAAACAAATACCTCAAGTGACTTCCATGAGTCGGAACAATTTCCCGTGGGGTATTTCTATATCCATGCGCATAAAATATATTTCCCATACGTGGTTTTCTTGGTGTTAGTGTTGGATTTCTGTTCGCATACCAATACAGTTTTCTATATGCATTTAAATAGTTTTTTCCCAATTGACTGTAAAGAAAATAAGGCTGCCCATCCATGGCCCATAGCTGTAAGAAATTTGTTAAAACAATTCCATACACTTAATCATTATTTATAATAATTATACGTACTCCTGGACTATGTCGAATATTGTCGCTGTAAGCCTTTGTAATCAGAAATATACTTATTGTTCCTGGAATGAAAATTATAAAAAATTAAAATATATATACTAAAATATAAACATGAAAATTCACATATATTTTTATTGTTTTTGTCTTATTGTTTTATTTCATTATTAAAAAGTTTAGGATTGAACCCTAATAAAATAGAAAATATTCAACATTAAAATATTCAACATTCAATAATTATTCACAGACATATTCACTCACGCATACATATTAGCATGCACATACACATTGCTTCACTTTCACATTTACGCATACATATAAATATTACCAAACTCCCACACACACAGATGTACAAGTACAGCTAGCCATGAAACGTTTTGCTTTCTTCAATCACTTTCTCATGAAATTATTAAACTATATATAAATAAATAAAAAATATATATACATATACACTTTTTTTCTTACTTTTTAAATCAACCGATTTATAATAATTTGTATATTAAATATACAATTTATTCATTCCAATTAATTTTATTTCGTTTATAAGTAATTATAAGTAATTTTATTTTATATATAGTTTCTGGCCAATCTAGTAAGTAATATTTTTTTTGCTTCTATAAAAAAATTGTTATGAATAAATTTTCCATACAGGTTCATATATGATCATACATATAGAAATAGCGAAATTGGATGTCAGGGTGTAATGACACATAAATCTCAATAAGTTTCTTTCAATACACATATTTTAAACACACAAATGCACATATACAAATTTGATATTTTAGAACCATATTTAATAATGATATATCAAATTTACCAATAAAAATCTGAACAAAGTTGAATATCTGAAGATGCTTGGAAAACATGTTGAACAGATTCAGCTGCAGCTACAGCTACTCACTGTTAAAGATTAAAGACTAACGGACGACTGACTTGAGGCATTTGTAGCTAACGTGAATACCCTATATAGTTTCAGTTTCATATTCAAGGGTAGATGGTATATAACAGTTAAGTTGTCTACCTGTTTCGGAATACACGACATAAAATGTTAATTTTGTTTATATTATTTTATATATTTTATATTATATTTAAACTTTTTTATATTTATAATTTTATAACATACCATTTGGGTGCCCTCTACTTATTTTATTATTATCATTATTATTATTGATATTTTTTTTTAATATATATTTTTTAAATATCATAAATTTCTTCAGTGATGATTTGATTTTGAATCATAATTTTGTATTAGTATGCGTTCATACACACTCTAAAGAGTTTTTAGGCAATAGAGGGTATCTATGCCTTTATCACTCTCAAACAGAATGGGTTACTGTTCGTTGCTACGAGATCATATGTTGTAAACGCCTTGAAGCATAGCATTACATGCATGGTTAAATTTCCAATAGATATTTTCTATCTCACCTAATACCACAAACTTCTCCTTTTCTTTGTGCAAATAACGCAAGTTGGCAGAAATTGCCCGGCTTTGCGCGGTTTACAATTTTCATTTTGAAGCATGCAATACAAAAACATTTGAGAAGTAATGTATAAAAAAGGTATTTAATACAAAAACTTAATTTAATTTCATTTAATTTGAATATTGTTGTTATAATTAATAGTAATAATTAATTAATAATTATAAATATTAATGTACATAATGCATTTAGCATATCAACATATAGCCTTATCAAGCATATTTTCTTGAGCAGAGAGATGAGGTAATACGATTTGACTATGCGTATATGTTTGCCTATATGTCTGTTCGTATGTCTGTCTGTGTGTCTGTCTCTCTCTCAGTCTGCCGGTCACCATTGACTTTGGTCAGTGCTGTCACTCAGTCTGTCTCTCTGTCTGCCAGCAAGGGACGAAGAACAATTACCGAAGAGCATTCGAGTTGTCTATGTGTATGCAGCATTCTTCACTTCGTATTTATGAGTAAATCGAAAAAGAGAATGCTTGCAGCTGCAGAGGGTGCTCCCATTGGTCAATTAAAGCTCGACTGCAACGATCCCTACCTGACGTCGGGCTTTACATTTGAGCGCGTGTTAGTGTGTGAGTGAAAGGTGCCCTATATAAAGGGCAGCAGCTGCAGCATCTCTTCAGTCGCCCAGGCCTGGTGGGGGTCAATTGTACAGTGCAGTAAAGTGAAGTAAACTGAATTAAAGTGAAGTGTGTGATCATTCAGCTAAGTATTAAAGACTTGGAGAAATTATTAGAAGAAATTCTTGGAGGAAATACTAAGAGGAAATACTTAGAGAAAAAACTGAAATTCTGAGAGAAAATACTTGGAACAAACTCTCAGGGCAAATACTTAGAGGAATATACTCCTTCTGCCTGTTACATTCATTTAATAAAACCATATATACCACCAGTAGGTTCAGAGTATACAACGCTATACCAAAGAAGAACTAGGATTTATGGAACTTTCTGCTGGTATTAAAATTACTTTCTCCATTAGAAACACAAAATTAAATTTCCACTGAAAAAAAAAAAAAGAAATATCGAGTGATAATAGTCCGATTACAAAACGAAAATTAATTATTTATATTGTCATTCATTCACTGAAGACACATTGAATAATTTCATTTAGATGCAAAATTACTAATTCGCTAATCAATAGCTTAAGTAGCTCGGGCTCTTTGCATTGATAGCTTGGCCAGTTGACGTCGGATTTATACATATCGTTAATTACAATTTTGTCGAGATTGTCACAAGAATTTTCCATTTTAAATTTATCAATTGTATAAAACTGAGTATTTTGTGTTCTGGGCTGACTTGAATGTCGGCCGAGTAAAGCCGCCAGAGTTTTTGATAATTTCAACGAGCAGCCCATTTGCGTAATATCTTCCTGGGCAAATTCACAATATTCTCGTATTATGTCAACGGTCAAATCCATGATTAGACGCGTGTAAAAATTTAAATAATCTGTTTTTAAAAATAAATAAAATAATATTTAAAATACATTGAGTGGTAACTTGTACTCACCCGTGGATAAAATAAACTCAAATAGATCATTGCTCAACATTTTGATTGCACCTAAAATGCAGCTCAGATGTAACTTCAGAATTTCACAAACGCATACCTGGTCTAAGTTTTTGGTCTTCAAGATTATTTTCTGAAGAAGAAAAAGTTGAGAAGTTGTTTTCTTTACTTTTAATACATCATATCACACAATGAGTATACCAACTAAATACTTTTTATTCCTCTTTTTTAACTTATCTAGGTGATGTCTATAAATAAAATGAAGTGTTCATCCTGCATCTACCAAGAATACGTTAAGTATTTTTTTTTTAGTTTATGAAATGCAATTTTGATTAGGCGTATGATAGTTTTCAGTTGTTTGATAGATCCTTTAAAATTGCTATGCATTTCATAGTAAAGGGCTGCAAACCTACTTACATCTATAAGAATTGTCATAATTCTTGCTGCAAATACACTTTTCAACGGCCAATCCTCGCCCTTCATTTTCAGCATATTTGATTGGTTTCTCTCTACAAAGTCTTCATTAAATAATTCATTCAAAAATGTCGTATAATATGTAAAGTCCACTAACGCAGGTTCCTGTTTGTCACAAATGGCATTCCAAATTGCATTAAATTCCTTCAAAAAGGACTTTTTAGGAGGTAACTCCAGATCTTCATTATGTTTAGCACCGAAGTTTTCATCTTTTACTTGTAAATCAGCTTGAAGCATAGGCAAATTAGTTTTTGTTTCACATCTCTTGAGCTGATCAAATAAATTCTGCTTTATATATGGGCTACAGAGCTCAATTAGCTGTGCTCCAGCGCGTCGAACATCATTGACTGGAAAACCTAATGATTTCCTGCCTTTGGATAAGATAAATAAGTTACCTTTTGAATCAAAATAACAAAGATTTGATCCAGTCTGAAAATTGGGCAAAGCTTTACTATAGTAGAAGGCTCTCAACATAGGTCTATTTTGTGTACGGCAAAGTTCCTGCTTTGTCGTCGAACTTCTTAGAGTTGACTGACTCGTCAGTTTTCCTAATGTTTTTGTAGGGAGTAAAAGTTCCTTATGTCCAGTGAAATTTAGTAATCTAAAATAGAATTAAAAACTCTTGTACACTTTTTCTATACGACTAATAAAGAGAAATTCAGTATATATACTAGGCCAGGGTTTTTGCCAGCAGCATTTTATTATATTATTAAACACTAACCTTTTTAGATATAGTCGTTCTTCCCTCATTTGATTCAGAAGTCTTTCCTGCATTTTGTTCACTTTCGAATATTGCTTGAGATATCCTTTCGCCTTCAGCCGCTCCTTTTGCAGCTCAAACAATGAAACTAAATATGTTGTACGATCTATAAGTAATTTCTCCCGCACTTTCAAAAGTTTGAGTAGATTTTCGATATGCGATTTTATAAAATTGTTAAATATCTTCTTCTTATTATATATAGGAAATTAAATAAAAGCCAATATATATGATTAAAATACATTAAATTAACCATTAAAAGACTTACCCTTCTCTTTGTTTTCGTATGCCTTACTAATTTATTATTCAAAATGTTTTGCTTAAGAGTCTTTTCCTCCGAACTCGCAGTACCAACTTGATCATTGCCTATATAAAGGTTTTTTTTGTTTAACATTTAATCTTGAGCTTATATCTCTAGTCTACTCACATTTAAAATTCTTCTTACTATAATTATCTGTCTGTATAGATTTATTAGAATATCCTTTAAATAGATTTATGCATTCACATTCCTTATTAACTCTTGTTCTTTGACCATCGAAAGCCTTTGAATTCATAACCGCTACTTTGATTTTATTATGTATAGCCGTTATAAAGTTATAGGGATACGTTGAGACTGTTTGTCGGCGTTGAAAACCAAGCCATGTAGTACCCGCTCTGCCGTTGTAGGTCTTTTCAGATGGCATAATTATAGATCAGAGAGATATGTTCAGAGAATCTTAAATTAATTGTGTATTTAAAGGCATTTAGATTATTTAATAACTGGCGAGTTGAAATGTAATAAGCTTTAATCCAAACTGTAATTAGACTAATTAATAATGTAGTAATGATATATTAAAAATATTATATATAAATTAATTATATAATTACCTGTTTTAGTGTTAAAAACTCTTAAAATTGAGTGCGTGAATCCTTAGATATTAATTCTTTTTGGCTGATAATCCCCATTCTTAGAACTCATCAAATGTTTCGTGTCAGATGTATAATTGTTATATGTATGGATGTATGAATTATTTTAATTGGGCAACGATCAAAAATGTTTAAGTATGTATTTTTTGTGTTTTTATATTAAATAACTAGTTTGTATATATTTCATGGCATTCTATATATGTATTGAAGCAGAAAAACAACTTAACTTGCTTAAGCTGTCAGCTTGAAGATTGAAGCCTAATGGCGGCTTCTGATTAAAACTGATTAAAATTAATGTTAAATAAATTTAGAATTAAATTAAAAAAACTGTGTGCTTAATCTAATCAAACTCAGAAAATCCATTTCAAATCTTATTTTCGAAACGCATGACTCATGACCAATTGCTATATTCAATCAGTCAATGTTTATAAGTGGTATTTCCTATGTATACCTATTCTCGTCCAACATAAACAGCCAACAGCTGAGTCGATATTCGCCATGTGCGTGTCTACTCGTCTGGCAACCGAGTTTGTTTTACATCATCTCAAAAAATTCCATTGAAATCTATATCAAGTCTATATAATTTAAAGATCTGCTTAACTGTCATTAAATAACTGAATTATGGGCTATCAAATAATCTAGTTTAGTTCAGTGAACTCTTTCATTTTTCTTTTTTTAAATAGATCACACCTGAACACAGTAGTGGATTGAAAATTCTTGGAAATTTTTCAACAAAATTAAATACAATCAATATTATACATATTATTCTAAAATAGTTTTTTCTTTTTTATTTGATTTATTTAATTTACAGTCAGTAATGAAAATGAATACAAAAATATTTGATTTTCATAAGATTCACATATATCAGGATAATTATAACACATAGGGTCCAAGATATGAACTATAATTGCACGACTCTCGTCGAAACAATTGAGTTAATCAAATCATAGTTAGCAGGAACCATTAACTTAACTGGAAAAAAAAGAAAATCAAATTGTTGGTTAGATAGAGAAGGTATAAAAATAAAAATACTATATATATACAAGCATTTCTAAAAATATATATTAGATATATCATATATATATCTATATATATAATATATATAAATATATGAATATTATATTTTAAACATACCATATATAGATCTATACATACATCTATATATACAGATATATATGTATACCATATATGTATATGCTCATATTATAATCCCATTCTTAGTGGGCTCAAGATTAATCCTTTCTAACTTTTCCAGATACTCACTCTCTATTTAAATGAGCACCCGTATCCGTGGACAAGCAGCCAGCACCACCGCCGAATCCATAGCCCTTGGGACCATACTTGCGTCCATGGCAATTTTTGCAGAACAGTGTCTTTTCGTGCTCGGTGCAGTTTGTCGAGTCCAAGGCCTTATTGCACATACCTATTCGAGGAACATCACATTTTGGTATATTGCTCAGGAAGAAATTCGTTTACGGCTCTACTTACTGCACTTGAAGCATGTCTTATGGAATTTGTAGCCACCAGCAACGCGCTCTTCAGCGGCGTAAACCGATTTGCCACAGGCTGGGCATTTGGGTGTCTCTACCGGAACGAATGGCATTGTGTTATACTAGCTACAAAAGATTATGAAATTCAATATTATAAGAGATTCTGAACAATTTCAGTACTAAACTTAAATATTCTACTACATATATCTAAGATTTTTTTTTCTCGTTTTCAACAGCTTTAACATACCGACTATGGTAGACTTGTAAAGAAGTTCCTGTATGTCAAAGACGCTGCCGACTAAACTGGAAAGATTCTGTAGTCTGGTAGTCTATATTTGTGGATGCACACGGCACAACAAAAAATACATTTTGCGTTAGACATACGGCAATAAAGCGATAAATATATAATTTTTTTTGTTTTTGCACCCCTCCCGGGGTTACGTCGGGTACGTAACCAGTATGAAAATAAATCTATTACAAATATACCTGCTTTACAACAACAACAAAAAGAAATTATTAAATGGTATTTCATTTATAATTAATTAACTATTACTAATTATATATCTAATTCGAATAGGGTTTTTTAATTACATTTCTTTAGTATATTTACAAGCTATGCAACTGCATATATAAGAAGTAGACGTTGCAGTTGACAACAAATGTCCGACTATCGCATACTCTGCTTGAAGTCATTCCATTTGAAATCTGAGTTCCATTTTCGTGTGGATGACTAAGACTAGTATTAGGGTAGAGTAAGGTAAGACTTCAGTCATTAGAGGACTCCCTGCAATATTATAAAAATAGATTCGAGCTTTGTATGTGTGCGTCCTTGTGTGTGTATACTTTATGTTTCAAGTTTTTAACTTTAAGTGCGTGGGCCATAAACAAACAGACGAGACGCAGACGCGTGCTGCAAGCGGAGGGCGCATTGCACAAAACCAATATAACTATATATGCATATACATACATACATACATACATACATATATGTGTATATATATATCGTGTAGCTATGAGAGGCGCGTATAAAAATATACCACATATTCAATCATAAGTACATATGTCTGTCTGTATATATGTATGTAGAAGCAGAAAGAATATGTTTGTGTATGGAAAAGTGTATGCTTTATAAATATAAATAAATCTTGCATACAAACATTCGTAAATTCACCAAATTGTATCAGTGTATAGAGGGTATGTACATACATATGTATTGCTCGGGTGTACATGTATCCATAGAATTGAATTGAAATTCAATTTTTTATTTATTTTTTCATTTTTCCTTCCCACTTCCCAAGGGTATAAGAAATATATATATTTTTTTAAATCAATTTTGTAATGCAATGAAATAGAAGCCCAAAAATATATTTTTGGGTTTCAGGCAGCACGCGAAGCGTCGATTAGGCCAACTAAAGTATACCTTAGAAATCTGCAATATTTACAATAAAACAAATTTGTATGCATTCTCTGTTACTATCAGAAAGTAGCATCTGCTAGCCTATAAAATTATGGACAAGTAATTTGGCTTATAAACAGGACGCCAAGTCAGATAATTCAAGCCATTTCTGTTTTTTTGCTTTGCAAATTGGCAAATTACAAAAGTTGTTTAAATATGCATGTATATAATTATTATGTATGTTTATCTTGCTTAGGATGTTTGATCTTTAGCCACGCCAGATATATAAAGAGATATATAAAGTTTGATCCATGTTGTCGGCAAGGCTAAATGTAATCCAAATATGAGAAATATTGATTAGCAATTTATATCTAAATAGGGTAATCCGTAAACTAAAATATTTATGATTAGGAACATACTTTTTAAGAATTAGCATCAAAACATTAAACAGCAAAATTTTACAGATGTCATAAAACAAACAAAGGTTTTCATAATTTAAAGGAATTTCTGATGTATCCCAAGTTGTTTCCTGTTTATTCATATATATAATATTTATATTGTACAGGGATATATATGTTTTATAAATAATTTCTTTTAAGTCCATTCTACCTGTTCTTCTGTAAAATTACTTGTATGCTATTAAAACGTACCATGTTAAAAATAATTTGATGAGTATAAAAGATAAATTTGCCAAAACCCCATCCCACAATTTCTTAAAATAGCACAAGTTAGAGTGTAGTTTAGTTAGAGGCTGCACGACTAGAAAATACCGCGAGTACCGTTGTCATTTAATGGCTGTATGTTTCCAGAACTACATAAATTAGTCTTTTCTCAATTTTCTGTGGAATGGATGAGAGACATGACCTCGCGTCAATGTAAATTTTTAGCAGAATAGCTTTACACACAGAAACACATTTTGTAGTAATTAATGTGAGCGCAATAATTCAGAAATTCCATTAAATGTTACATAAAATTTGTTTAGCGCTAATTTGCAGTAGACTCGTATTCCCTGAAGATAATCTGAATCGTATATGAAATTGTGTCAACAAATTATTAGAAATAATTTTAATTTAATAAAGTATATCTTAATACCCATAGGAAAATTCCACATATCTGACACACCCTCCACAATAATACGGAAGATTAGGACATTAATACACTTTCAGCAGTTAAGTAATAGACTTTATTTACATATCATATATTTACTAAGTTTATATTGTGGGTATACATTTTATCTGTGTGGAATGACAATCTTATTTGGTATTTACTGCTACATTTTAAGAGATTTTTCTAACCTAATAAATAAATAAGTCAAAAGTTATTTAGTGAAATCATCATCAGTATAACTAAATTATTTTGTTTATTGCGAAGTCCATTCATTGATTGAATACGTGCTTCCCATATATTGTTGTTGACGAATTGATTCATTGTTTGATTGATGATTTGCAACTGAGTTCCAGGGTTGTCTGGGAAAGGCATTTGAGTTAATGTATGATCCGGAACTACCGGAACTATAACCAGGCGTTGCATGGAAATTGGAATGATAGGGAGAAAAATTAAAATGGCCATAGGGTGCATAATTGTTTATATGATAGTTGGCTGCTGTTGGTGTGCTCTTATTGTCATAGTAATTATAATATTGGGGAGGGAACGAATGCTGAACGTTTTTACTTGAGAAATATGAGTTTTCTGGCAAATTAGTGTTGGAAGTCATTGTTTGTGGTTGTGATGCATTCGATGGAATATTTAGTGAACTGTTATATGTGTCTACAATCGGTAACTGTCCTTCATGCTTGTACGGTTGCTGCGGCTGCTGTTGTTGCTGCACCTGTTGCTGTTGCTGATGTTGTTGATGCTGCTGCTGCTGCTGCTGCTGTTGTTGTTGTTGTTGTTGTTGTTGTTGTTGTTGCTGCTGCTGTTGCTGCTGTTGTTGTTGCTGTTGTTGTTGTTGTTGCTGCTGTTGTTGCTGCTGTTGTTGCTTTTGATAGTTCAAATCTTCAGGCATTTGATGCAGACTCGACGGGATGCTACTTAAACTTTCAACTTGACTATTATTTTGCAATGCGTGAGTTTTAGTTTGCTGTAGATCCTCAAGAATGCCAGTTCTTGCAAATGCTGGATCAGGCGGCGGTTGAGTTGGTAAACCTTCCTTAGTACTGGTTTCATTTGTCTTAGGCACAGCTGATTTATCCGTCGATTTATCTGAAATATATAATATTTCTCAATTGTTTAATTTAAATATACTACTGAAGTATCTTACCCTGTTCTGGGGATTTAGGTTTCGGATTATCCGTATCGCAGTCCGATGTAATATCAATTACGTCTTCTTTGCTATTTTTCTCATCATCTGGTTTCTTGGCTGTTGTTCTAATTGCTATTATTTTACCGCTATCTAATTGCATATATATTCCTTTCGCCGATTTTAATACCATAACTCTTTGACCGGCTTTGAGTATTATATTCGATTTTTCTGATGAATTCGTAGGTATGACAACATCTGAAAAGAAATATATTATATTATTATAAATTATGTCTATGTATAATTGAATATCTGAATTGCGTACCAAGTGGTAATGTCATTTCTTGAGCTGTCATTCCCTGTCTTTGCCAAACCTCAGCAGGAATCCAACGCGTTGACCGTCCACCAGTTGTAGTAGTAGTTTTTTTGGTCTGCAGAGGCTTAATCTACAATAAAAAATTATAAAAATAAATAAAACCAGAATTAATTTAGTTATTGAGTAATGCCTGTTTATCAGTTAATATTCTTACCGAAGCCACTGGTCGCGTTACAACCGTGCCATCAGAATTAATAACTTTATATTGCATTTTCCCAGTTGAATAAGTAAATTTCTGATTATTTACAGAGGCTTTCTTTTCTAGTTCATAACTTCGGTGTGCCTGTCGCTTCTCGGCTTGCGACAGCTTTCTATCCTTTTGATCAACTAGTAAACTTTCGTGCAGGAAAGGATCTTTTGTTATATAGTTTGAATGTAGCTCAACAATTTTATTGATGATTGGATCCATGTGGGTTGTTTTTGGAATAGATGGTTCCTCTTTTGTTTTCTCTGGCATATCGACCTTATCGATTCCATTATCTTGTGTAGATTCTGTAGCCTTCTGAGCATCACTTTCGACGGGATCGCTGTCATCATCGTCATCGTGACATAAATTAGTTATATCTTTCATAGACAAGTGCGCCTCTGGATTGCATTCATCAACTATTCTGTCTGACATTCCTTGTTTCTTAATCTGTCTATCATATATTTTCTTTTCTAGACATTTATCCATTACGATTCTGTACACATAGCATGGCTTAGTCTGACCGTACCTATATTTAAATAAATAAACAATTAATATAAAATAGACAATTCGGGATCGTACTTGAACTTACCTATAAATTCTATATACTGCTTGAGTATCATGGCAAGGGTTCCAACTGGCATCAAATATTATAACTCTATTAGCTCCAGTTAAATTGATGCCCAAGGAACCCGCTCTTGTAGATATTAGGAAAAGTTTTATATTACAATTCGCATTAAATTCATTAACGAGTCTTTCTCTTTCTTGTGATGAAGTCGAACCATCCAAACCTATTAATAACAAAATAATAACAATTTAATTATATTTCATTGAAAAAGTTACAATATAATACTTACGAAAATATGAACTGTTTCTCATCCAAAAGCTGTTAGTGCCTGGTACGTAACTGGATTTTAGGAACCCTTCAATTAGATTCAATGTCAACAGACTTTGACTGAACAACAATATGCGATCGCCCTTATATATGCTTTCTTTCATAATGCAAAAAAATATTTCCATTTTGGGTGAACTCGATATTTGGCCAGATATGTAGTTTTTCATGATGTCCACAGCCCAAGAACATGAAAATTCATCATTTCTTTTAGTCTTCAGCGTCTTTTTAGCAGCATCGTTTACAACGTTGCCATAGATCGGTTTACCTGAATTATTCAATTCATTAGATTTCGAATCCTCAGCACTTTGCTGTTGATTAATTGCAGCTGTGGGTATATTTCGCTCGACTGTTTTGATTTCATTCGTATCAAGATCTACAATTTCGGAGGAGCCAGTTATAGTTTCATATTCTTTAGCCATGCTCGAATCCGTTTGTTTTATAACTTCCACATAGCTCGGCTTCGAAGGTATTGTAGCATCCAGCCAATAATTGCCTTTCGCTTCGGCGCTATAAGTACCATAGTTAAGTTGATCCTCTTTATCCGCGCAATACTGCCCACAACTAAAAGTAAAACTAACAATTATAAATTATAAATTTAAAAATTGTTTGTATATAATTTACCTTTTATTAGCATAGTTCTTATTGATTTCCGTGCTTGGAGGCACATAGGTTCCATTTTTAGGTTGTGGAGTTAAAATTGGTTCAGTTTTTTCGGGGACACAAACGTTTGCATCAATGACTGTACTCGTGGTGCTTTTAGAAGATTCTTCATCGATTTCTAAGTCTAAATCAGTCTCACATTTCTTTAGATAGTTATATAAAACATCGGGATGGTTCCAGATCTTGCAACAGACTGCAAATGCTTTTAATGGATTTGGAAATGCCTTTTTTCGAACCACATCGGTCATGAAGGTATCATAAAGCTTCCGTTGAAACGGTGTCATTCGCACGAGAATAACATATTCCAGTTTTTGTGGCAGAGTGCATTGCAGCACAGTGTGTGAACGTCGCTGAACAAATCCCAGTAGCAGAGAGTGCAGAACGTGAGCTCTGTATCGCATTAGCTTGATATCATCCGGTGTTGAGTCCACACACTGACCATTTTGTATAGGTCTCTCGAACATGTTGCAGAACTCGGTTCGGGTGCCCAAATAGTTCGGCCGAACAAAGTCCACCATGCACCAATATTCCAATAAATTGTTCTGCAAGGGATAACCGGTGAGGACGATGCGTCGACGCGTTCGTATTTGCTTTAAGGCAAGTGAGATACCGGCATGAGAGTTCTTAATTCGATGCCCTTCGTCACAGATGACCAGATCTGGTCCCGGTTTTACCAGTGCTTCAAATGCCATATTCATAAGATCTTTACTTGAATCATGAATATCATTCATCTGCGAGTTTTTGCCTTTTTTCTTACGTGTACTAACTAGTTTAAGTGCCAGCAATCGGAATAGTTCATATCCAATCAAGAGCACGCCACCCCTGTGCACCCAATTCAAGATGACCTTGGCTCGAGCCGTCAGATTCTTCTGTTGGTCGTTCAAAACGAAGATATCAAAGTTTCGGGGACGAACATTCAAATCGTTAGACTGACGAGGAATCCACATATTGAACTCACTTAACCAGTTTTGTAGTGTATTAATTGGCATAACGCATAAAACCGTCTTGGCGGACGTGTGCCTTAAGAATATATCACAGAAGGAAACTACTTGTAGAGTTTTACCAAGTCCCATGGAATGCGCCAGTATACATCCAAATCCGCTTGACTTTTTGAATCTACGTATAGACTCAATTATATTGTCATATAAAAATCGTACGCCGCCAATCTGATGAGGTTTGATTACTTTCGCTATCTGAGGAGCCAAGTACAGTGTCTCCTCTCCTTCAGGATGTGCAATATTTACAACAACACGGCCGTATTCGTCCGGAATATTATACAGATCTTTGACGTGCATCCCACTATTTGTGGCATCGTCACTTTCATTATAATCTTCCTCGTCCTCCGACAGTAATATACAATCATCATCTGAACTATCGTCAATGGTAACGACCTCATTCGAGGGTTCGGGCTCGGTGCTGGTGTCCTTGTCTAAGACATCCTCAATACTGCAACTTAAACTACTATTTGTATCATCACATGTGACTGATGCCAACTCATCTTCGGGTAGAATACTATCATTATTAACAAAAAAGTTTGGTTCGGAGCTCTCGCATTTCACTTCATTCGATTCTTCCAAATTCAGAATGCGAAAGAAGTTTTTGTGTACGACTTGTTTCCTTATCTCACGCATCGATTTCTGCTGATCGGCAACTCGAGCCAGACGCTCTGACTCCTCCCTCTGTGCCGCCAGTGTTGTTGTGTCCAAATTGTTTTCATTCATCACATCTCTGATATTTCTTCTGAGATTATTCTTCTTCTCTTCGGCAGCCGTCAGCATGCCCTTTTTATTCGCTGTGCTGTCATCTTTTGTTACCGAATTCTTTCGTTTCTGTCCATGGGCATGAGGTTGGACCTGGGCTTGGGGCTGGACATGACCCTCGACAGGAGTCTGCGCTTGTGCCTGTGCCTGTGCTTGAGCCTGAGCCTGAGCCTGTGCATGAGCATGTGCCTGTGCCTGTGCGTGTGCCTGGGCCTGGACATGCGCCTGGAGCTGGGCATGAGCATGGGCCTGGACTTGCGCCTGGAGCTGGGCCTGGGCCTGAACCTGTGCATGGGCGTGTGCCTGGAGCTGGGCATGGGCCTGAACCTGTGCCTGGAGCTGGGCTTGGGCCTGGGCCTGAGCCTGAGCCTGAGCTTGAGCTTGGGCCTGGAGGTGGGCGTGAGCTTGGAGCTGGGCGTGGGCCTGAAGTTGCGCATGAGCTTGAGCCTGAGCCTGTTCCTGGGCCTGAGCATGTGCTTGGGCGTGTGCGTGGGGTGGCGAGGCAACTGAATTTTCTGGCAAAGCTTTTGTTGTTGATCCAGCCATACAATCGGTGTTAATGTTAGTATTGAATACTGTTTGCATTATCTTACATTCACTAATTCTATCGTTTGCATCTATAGATGCATTAGGAGCTTGGTTTTGGGTTACATCTGAATTATTCCCTAACATCATTGGTAATTCATAATTCATAACATTTGAACTCAGTTCCGACGATTTCATTAATCTTTCATGTGCTAAATAAGCTGGATTCGGAACCAGTGACTGGTGATTATCTTCCTCCATATTTATTCTGATTTCTTTGATCTAGATAAAGAAAATAAATTAAATCAGTTTCATTGTAAAATATGTTGAGCTCCGTCTTAAATAATATTAAATTATATTATAATTAATAAGTAATCGGTTGATCTCTTACATTATTCTGAGAACAGCTTCAGTTACTGAAACTACTGATCCAGCCCTCCAAACTCTATTTATAAATATTGCAAAAATGTTAATTTGTCATCGAGCTATTATCGTGTTTGAACTGAAATTATTATCTATAAAGCGATAAGAATTTCACGTGTTTTAACGTTTGCCTTTATTGCCCTCTGCGCTCTGTTGTTTGTTAATGCCTAAAACTAAAGTTAAGATGAAGATTTCCAATCTACGTGATAACTAATAAATATATTTATAAAACGGATTAGGATTAGAATCTTCCATTAGTAATATTATTGCGTTGATCAGATACTCGAATTCTTATCTTACTTAAATGAGTATTATCTTATCATTTCAGGAATTGTTTCCAAATAAAAAAAAAAATAAAATAAAAAAAATTGTCCTGACTAACTGATGACTAACCGGCCCAGTGCACTCATTTATCTCTAATATGATCTGAATTGGGATATTTCATATAAAACCGCAGCTTAAATACGTAAAATGTGTTCAATAAAATAATCATATTCAATGTTAATCAAATATTTGATTTGCAATTCTTAGTTATTAAGGCTTATCAGTTATAGCTGCAGATTACTTCTCAAACTTTCTACTTCTCGAAAATTCAAGCTCCCAGAAAAGCCATTAGAAGATATGTAAGTCTATTATGATTTGAAAATAATAAAAAAACAATCAAGTGAATAATAATTAAATAAAAATTTTTACTGCATTTTCTGTCTTGTCACATACAATTTAATTGCCATTGTTAATTAAAAGTACTTTCCCTTGTACTATATAAAAACATTGGATTTCAATGGGCAATGGGCAGCAATGGTATTTGATAAGTTTTTCGAATTTGAGTGGGCAGCAGTGGGCGTGGTTAAAATTTGACCACAATCTATCGCGGATACACAAAAGATATATTGTATATTGGGTCTGTTGGGAATTTACTTCATTAATTTGGTCATTATTTATAGCGACTTTTGTTGCATTTTGAAGACGTATTATTTTTTTGTTTTGCCTGCAAAGGATGCATGTGTATGTAAATATGTATGTATGTGATTACTTACACTTATTCCGTTTATTTATAGAATAGTCCCGTAGGTTACTTTTAGATATACATCAACATGTTTCTGGCATTTTTCACACATATATATGCTCAAAATAATTGATTAATTATTTTCATTCATATTTATATTTAATATACACGTATATATTTCCTTTTAATATCTATATATATACAAAATATATTTATAGCCGGCAATACAAATTAAAATTCAACTTTCAGTCTACACCTGCATAGTGTGTAGAAATAATCCACATAATTTTTGATACGATTTCCTCTTTCGTTGTATTGTTGCTATGCACATATAGTGAAAAATGTCTGCGATGAATCACTGTTAAATTACAATTATCTGATTACTATTTGTTATTCTTTAAGTAATTCTGTTTTTTCACTTTAGAAATATGTATATCCACAGTATTTTAATAATTACATATACATATGTACATACAAACAATGAGTTGAAAAATATCGAGTTATCGCCTATCAGTATTTTACTAGAGAAGAGATTTTCCATTCTCACTATGTGTGTTAATTTTGGTTAAGTTCGATAGGATTTCCTTCTGTGCTTCAATTCGTTAGCGTGTTGGAAAAAAACAGCGAAACTATCGATATATTCTTACTCCTTTAACGCAACTGCAAAAAAATCTATTGCCTCGCAAATAAATCGAAGTCGATTATTATATTACAAATGATTCATATTGCGATTTAACATATACCATATAATTATTATTTCAAATCATTCTTTGCCTTACCAGCGAGCTAAAACTTATTTGGCTAACGATCGATTTTTTAAAAATATACGTAATATGCAATGTCTTCAACAAAAAATATAATACAAATTTCGAAATTCGTTATGAAATGAATGAAACGAAAGTAATGCAGAATGCTTATAATATAACTAAAAAGCTATCTATTATTTGCCAGATCAAGGCAGAGCCAGGAGGCTCTGTTCTATTAGAATGTTATTAAAACCACTCGATTGAGATACGCAAAGAGATGGTTCCTATTATTGTCATATTGTAAGCTGTGCAAGCTAATTGTTGAGTCCAGAGATTTCATTATTGGGCATAAATTCAAGAATAACTATTATGTTGCAATATATTGAAGCAGCACAAAATGGTAGCATAATTTAAACTCGGGCGATGGAATGATCAGTCAACTTTTCATATTTTACGCCTGCACATTGATTCATGTTGCCGATTCAGGCCTCTTGATCTATCGGAACGCCGACATTGAAACTAACCGGCAATAAACCGCCTATTGTGATTCAGCACTTAGCAGCTACCGTTAAGTCAGAAATCTTAATAAAAACAGATGCTGACTTCCTTTACTAGTAAAAATTCAGTATTAATGACAGCTACACAATTAATATGTTCTGTTTCCACTCGTTTTAGCTTCTCTATTGAAACTAATCAAAACATTAAAGGGCTCGCCTTTGGCAAGACGGAATCAAAATTTAAATCAACTAATTCCTTATCTTATAATCAAATAACACATAATTTGCACACCACACACTAACACTCCAATTGATAACAAAAACTCTTCTTTTACACCACAATTGTATCCATGTGTTTTATTCCATAAAGAACATGTTTAAAGGTAGGGGGCCAATGCAATCATGTACACCAATACAACTTTTCAGATTGAGATGGTCTACTTGACTTCCTTGACTTGCAAGCCTGGTGGCAGGGATTGCTTGATTTTGTCTGCCTTCTCTTTGTCTTGCACCACAAGTGTGTAGAGGAAACGGGAGCAGCGAATCTTGAATTTGGTATTCGTGGGGTTCTTCTTTATTTTGACGGCACGGGCATCAGTGCGGCGTGCTTTGTTCAAAAAATCTTTAACCTCCTTGATTTCGCGCGGCATCTAGAAGAAACGGAGTCGCTGTTATTTATATTATCACAATTTATGCTTACTTTTACTTACATTGAACTTTTTATTAAAAAATTCAAAATTTTAACATGTATTTAACAAGCCAGTAGTAAAAAGGAAAGGGATATTCTCTTGTCACTTCCGGTTGTCAAACTTAGAAGCACCCAGAGTTGCATTGAACTACAAAACATTTATAAGTCAAGATATCGTCAATATTTGCAATTTTATTTATTAAAATTAGTAATTCTTATACATATCGTAGATCATAGAAAAACCATTTATTTCATTTTGTATTAAATATTTTTGTAGTTTTTCATATTAAAAATACATTAATAAATTGATTAGATATTATTATTTGCGAATAAGTGCAGGATGCTAACTATCGTTCATTTTTATCGAGCAATAGGAATTAATATGAAGCTGCTTTTGTATTTGAAAAGAGCAACTGAAATAAACAAAATAACTTTGATTTCAGGTTTATTTGGCTATAATATAATTCTAAAGTAATCCAAAACCCGATCTAAAGCTTGACCATGATACATCGAAAATTCACATATTTTTATACGAGGAACTATTACTCCGTTTTTTCATGAGCATATCAACGATAAACAATCAGCTACGATCACCAAGATTTTCAGTTGGATCAATTTGGGCTTTCTTAAATAGTTATAGTTAATATAGTTATATTAACTATATATATATTATATTAACTATAACTATTTAAGACAGCCCAAAATGATCCAACTGAAAATCTTGGTGATCGTAGCTGATTGTTTATAGTCAATTGAATAAAGTGGAAATTATATTTTGTCTTCAATAAATCCAATTAAATATTTTTTTTTTATTTAGTTTTTTATTAAAGAATACAGACATTTTAAATTATCATTTTCATTTTCTTTATTTATACTGAAAATACAAATTATGTAGAAAATTCTCATACAAATTGGCGATCTTGACCGGATACAATATAATCACTGATTCATGCACGTATTTCAATTCAAATGCATTGCACAGAGCTATTTATCCTTGCAGTCTATTGGCGATCAGTAGCACGAAGCTTCTCCTCAACAGCTTCACGAGATGCTTCTGACAAATCAGTAGCTTGTATATACTTCTGGACTCCCACCAAAGACTTCTTTAATGCATCAAAGGAGCTAGAGTACAACATCTTCTTCTTAACCTGAAGTATAAAAATGATTTAGTAGCCAGTTCTTATAGTCAAGCAAGAAAAAAATACCTTAGCAGTATCGGGACACCATGACATAAGGAACAATTTTTGTTTCTTTGAGCTCTCGGACGTGCCTTGGCATTGGTGCATGTATTCAAAATCAAAGAGGCCATATCTGCAATAAACAACCAATTTCAGAGAATTTATTATAAGCGCCATAATGCGTTGGATTCGTTTATTCTAACGTATAGCACAAACCTTGCTAGATAAGTTTTATAGACTATTAAATTCCTATTAAACATTAATTTCTAAAAAGTAAACTTTTTTTTTTTAATTTCTTTAAGTATAAAAGTAGTATAGCATGCATACAAATAAAACAGAAAATAAATACTTTTTAAGTTAAATAACAAACTAAATGCTGTTGTATTAACTAGATTAACTGCTATTTTTATACCTTTATCTCAAAGATAAAGTTTTATTAAGGCATTTCAAAGCGTTGAAGTATTCGGGGTCAAGAATGAGTCATTTTGCACAGAACTTACCGGCATTCTCCAGGACCGCATTTCTGGATATCTTCTAGAAACTGATCGTATTCGCTATTCCGATCACCAACAGTTTCCACATCAATTTGTTTTTCATCACGAATATAGAAAATTACATAGCGATGTTTTTTATCCTTCTTTATTTCCTCGTATGTTGTTTTGCATACATCCGATACAGTTACTCCAGAAGCCTGTCAATAATAAGAATTTCAGAAGTCTACAATGAGAGCGTGCTAAAGAGAAGTTCGTACACTTGAGAAATTGCATTAGAAGCAATCATTTTATTGAACTATATTCTTTTCCTTTGTAGAACTACATAAAAATATTATATTCACATATCCTATATTCCCATATAATATTAATAAAATAACAAAAATTTTATGAACTTCCGGAAATTGTGCAATTGCAGTCTGATCATAAATGCCCAATGACAACAATTCACGGAAATTATTATATGGCTCATAAAATGAAGATGTTATCGACCTTGCTTTACAATTTTTCTTGACCTTGTATGGGCATAGAAAGCTTTTTATACGTCCATTACACCGATTCATTCGCAATAAAAACAAACAAGCAAACATAAATAGATGAAATTAATCACAAATGATAACTTATTACCACTTTTGATAAGATTTATATATATATATATATATATATGTATGTATGCATATGGTCACACATACTTGCATACAAACAAAAGTGTTCTAGTTCTAAGAGTGGCAGACTAGACGATACCCTTAACACAGATTCCAGTTGTATATTTGTGTTTCCTCTATACAAACATCTATACATACATACATATATTCAACAAAAATAATTTGAAAAAAAAATAAAAAAATTCGAAGACACATACAGCAGCTATACATATATAATCCGCTTGCTTCCCACTGTACGCAGCTGTTGTGCTTTATCCATTATTAGCCCCACACTATGAACTATTTTATGTGACTGTATTCATGTGTATATATTTTGACACATGTATGTGTGTATATATATAACACCAACATATGTGGCAGACGAAATATATTCTTTTATGATTTTTCGAATTTTTACATTGATTACAAATTAGTTCTGTCCATGCTATGATAAAAGCGATCAACGTGGAGCTTGTATATACATATATATGATATGTAGTTGTACATACAGACAGGTCTAAATGGAGACAATAGTCAACGCACACCAACAATTTTAAATACTTTATATGGGGTCGAAAGAGCTTTCTTCTGTCTGCTACAGGGTATAATGCACATGTATTGAGAAAAATTTCATGTATGCTTTACGTTGGCTAATTTGCCGGTAATTAAACAGGAAATGACTAAATTAAATTGATTTTAAAATTTTCGGGTACATTAATAAGTTACACTAACAAATAAAGGAAAAAAATTTCTGTAAGCACATGCAGTAGCTGTTCAAAAATTTTATTCCAAGCCGGCATAATCATAAAAAAAAACCATACATACACACATGTATAAAAATACCGAAAATAATTTGTATATGTATACGTTCATTTCTGTTATAAATATGAAAATATATGTATTGGTAGACAAATATATATTCACATACAAAGTTGTCAAATATATATATATATATATATATATATTTTTTTATACATATATCTATATATATTTTTCAATATCTATATATACAAAAATTTTCACATACATACGTATATAATCGCAAATTGTGAAGTTTCGAATTAATATTCCATATATTACTCAGCCTATTCTGACTAATGTCTACCTACGTATATACATGTATATATATGTGTGTATGTATATCAATGTATCCATTAATATACATATGCATATGTACATACATACAGTCTTTTGCAAGTATACATATTTGGTATGAATATATACATATGTATATCGATACATATGAATGGATTTCAGTATGTATATTTTTAAATGATTATTGTGTGCTTATGCCTAATAATGCAAACTTTTTCTGAATTATAAAAATTTCTACGTCATCTCAAAAAAAAGAAAATA